TACAGCAGATGCCCTCCAGCTGTGCACTCGCTCTCTCAGGCAGCCTGATTGCTGGCTGCACACCCTCCTGAGTGCTTCATGGCACCTGGTCTCAGCTTGAATCCTCCAGGTGAGGTAGCTTCTGTACCTGTGGCCTGTGCAGTGTGGTATGCTGAAGAGGCTGTGCCCTTTGTCTCTTCCTTGTCTGCAGAACAGTACTAGTGCTGGGAAAGAGGTGCAGAGTCCTCCCTGTTCTCGGACTCCTGGCTTGTAGAGCAGCTCACCAGGGAGAGAGTCTGCCCCTGTGCCCTTGGAGGGGGAAAATGTCTCCCTTTCCTTCCTGCCCAACAAGCAGCAGGATAAGGGCAGTTTGTGGTTTTGGTGCCCTTGAGCTTGGATCCCAAGCAAACTGAATACAGTTCATCCTTCTCTAGGGACTTAATTAACCCACTGGTTTTGTCATTTCAATTACAGTTGGCCAGTTTAACCTGCAACCCCCTCCCCACTTTGGTACTTTGAAATTACTCTTTTCAGAAGATAATGTGATCACTCCTTTAGCCCTGGTGGGCAGGTGTTGGCATTGCTTCTGAGCCAGCCTTGTCCATGCTCTCGCCAGGGAGGCTGGAGTGGCAGGGAGGCCGGGGTGGCAGGGAGGCCAGGCCTTCTCTGAAGGCAGCAGCTCCCGCCCCCTGCAGTCCTTGCTCTGGAAGCACTGGAAACTCCCTGGCCCACTCCCCACCGCTGGAAGGGGCCTCTGTGGAGAGACTGCGTGCTGTTAGCTGGGTTTTGATTTCAGTACTGGAGTTGATAAAACGAGATAAACCCCAGGCTCACTAAGGCCGTGGAAATTAAACAGTGATGATATCAAAGTTCCCCCGAGTCTTCAGCTGTGCTACTGTAGCTTGCTTTCTCCCAGCTGGGGCCCAGAGGCAGCCTTTGATTCTGAAACAATGAGCATCTTCAGTTAGGCCCAAAACTGCTGACTTTTAGGGATTAAGTGCATGGTTGTGGTAATTCTTTGATCAGCTACAAGGGAGCAGTGTGCTGTCTGCCCGCCACACTGTGAAGGGGCTTCATAGTTAAACTATGAAGTTCACTTCTCTGTGAACCTGGGATGACAGTGTTGTTGAGGTGCTTTGCTGTAGGGAACCAGACCTCCTCCATTGCAAATGCATGTAGTATGGTGTGGACGGAAAAGACCCCTCTCTTTCGCACTGCATGCCTACACTCTTGTTAGCTCTTTTGTCTTGAGGAGGGATTGCTCAGAGAGACACAAGGCCTGGAGCAGGGCTCTGCAGCCCTCAGCCTGGGAATGATCTGGCAGACCACATGCCCACTCTGGAAAGGCCCTTGGGGACTGACATCTGGAAGGTTACCTTCCAGAACAGCTCAAGGTCACTGTTACCATGGACAAGAGCAGATGTGACTCCCAGTGCCCAACACCTTTCTTCCTTGTCTGGCCTGTGTTGAGAACCCACTGTTTTCAGATTGGCTCAGTATCTGCCACCCAGTCACACAAAGGCTTTCCCTGTCCACTCTGGCTTTCCCTGTGGACACTTCCTGTGGCCACAGCTGGATGGCACAGTGTTGCCTCTCTGCTTCCTTCCTCCAGGTCGGTTGGCCCGGCTACTTGAGTGTGGTAATGAAGCCCCCGTGTGCTGTGGATCCTGCAGATGCCAGGCCATAGATCAACCCATCCCCTCCTGTGCTGAGCTCAGATCTCCCTCATTAGGCCTGAATTTACCTCTGTCCTACACAAACATGGCCTTAGCTCATTTTTATTGTTGTAAATTATTTATGAGGGGAATGTTGAATCTCGAAACTGGGGTGTGAGGGAATTAATCCCAGGTTACTTTTATCTTTCTGTATACATTTCTTCCCTTTGCTTTACTTACTGAGCTATGGCCAGAGGAAAAAAGCGCTCTGGCATTTTAAGATATAATTAGTGTTGAACCTGCTTTCCCATTTGGGCAGGACGTTGGTCACCCTGTGCAGTGGAACAGCGCACAGACTAGACTGAGAAGGATCCTCTGCCTGCTGTCAGTCGCCGGCCGCTGGGTGTCTGGGACCAAACCTCAGTTTATGCTTATGTAAAATAAGGCTAGTTTGGGGGACCCTCCAGCTCTGAGGTGTGTATCAGCTGATAAGGAACCCGAAAAAATCCTCTGGGTGTGCAGAGTTCTGTACAAACTTGGCCGTGGAGCCACTATGATGGAACCAAGAGTTGTTGCAGGAAGGCCTTTTGTGTTTTATACCTAGTCACCTCCTGCCTGCCTGGTCAGTGTAGATCTTTATATATGCTCCCTTCTGTCCCTCTGTTGGGCTCACATTCATGGCCCCTCTTCCTCCCGGCAGCGTCCTGTTCTGCTCCCTTGTCTTCCCTTCTGGTTGGAGACTCCAGGCAGCCTGAGGAAACATGGAGTGCAAGTTAATAAATGGCCTTTTGTTAGGAAGGTCAATTGAAGTGACTGTAGAGATGCTGTTAAAAGTAATTTGCAGTCACAAAATATGTAATTCAGGGCAAGCCACTTTGAGCGATGGCCTCTGCCATGGATATCTTGGGCGTTTCTCATTAAGAGGCTCCTTGGCTGGTGGCGGCCATGCCCCACCGCCAAGTGGGCTGCAGCCCCTGGAACAGCCATTTGTCTCCGAGGCACAAAGGCTGCCTTGATCCCCAGGGCACAGCAACCCGGCAACCAAGGGAGAGAGGCGGGGCGAGCGTGGAGATGACTGTGCTGGCTGAGCCAGACCTGTAGTGGGCTGGGCAAGCTGGGCTCCTGAGCTCTGAGGACCAGCTCTTTGTCTGCTTCAGCTGGAGGCTGCCCGCGGCCATCTTGGAAGCTGCTGCTGGATGCCTCCCGGGGTGCATTATGGGAGCAGTGACTTCCTTTGCAAGCATACTCACCCTCTTGCAATTGACAGCAAGCAAGAGAATCGTCTTTATGCCTCATGGAGTGCGCTGTCCTTGGGGAACATGGATCTCCCAGCAAATGAGATATTCCTTGTGTGTGCTCACAACCTCACTCTTTTCTGTCTCCCTCCATCTCTTCTCCTTTTCTTCATTTCTTTTTCTCCTCTTTATTCTCCCCGCCCCCCAATAGTAAAGGCAGTAGGATTTTGCTTCACTTGTTCTTTATTAAGTTCACAGCGTGATATTTATCACTGGCAGGATTCGTACATTGTGCTAATGAGTTGTTAATTGCAAAGCATCTTTGGTAACAGACATCAGGTACCAATATTTTTGCAAACTGCAGCCGTGTGGTTTTTATGTCTCCCCCCACCCCCAAATACAGGATTTTTTAGGGACAGAGGCATTTTGTTTAGAGATTTGCTCTGAATTGGGCAGGTGTAGATATTTAACCCTAAGCCCATATTGGGGTCACACATGTGGAGTCACCTGATAAATATTTACTCAATACCTACTTGGTGCAAGAGCACTAAACACTGAGCTGTCCTGGATAAAAGCTGTCTAGAAAATGAAAATCCAAACAAGGAAAGGATAGAGAGGTGCAGCCTGGTCTCCCCTCCTGCCCTGGGCTTTTATACACTTATTTTTGGTAGAAGCATATAAAATATAACTCTATAACTTGGCTAAGGGGCAAGGTGCCAGGTGCTGCCAAGCCCTAACCAGAACCAAGTCTGCTTCCAGTGGGTTCCGCAGACTAAAAGGGTGACCTGCATGTAATGTCGTCGTGATGGTTCCTGGGAGGTAGGCTACAGACATCCTGAGTGACCACCGCTTTCTGATAAGAGGCGGAGGAGCAAGAATGTGCCTCCTGCTGCCTCTTCAGGCAGGATGTTTGCTTTAGAAGCTGTACTAGCTTAGAGAGCTTTGCAGCCAATAGGGTTTAATTGCTGCAGAACGAGGTGGGATTTATTCTGTTCTTTCCCACTGCTTGCCCAGTAAAAGTGCTCTATGTCTCTATGTTTTTATTTGGATTCTGGTGCACAGCCACTCAAGCGGCCAGGTCCACTGCTCTCTCTACTTGGTCAGCCTCCTCTGCTGGTCCTGCGCAGAGGCAGGGAGCAGCAAAATATTAATTCCACGCATCATCTTTTCATCCAAGTGACCAGTGAGAATTAGGATCACTGTTAGTGCTTAGCTTTGAGTAAGTGCCACTTGACCTGGAGGTTAAACTAGACAAAGACATGGACCAGACCTCTAGTGCATGGTGCTTCCCGGCAGGGTCCGGCTGGAGTGCCCTTAAGAACCCATGTGCCCTTAAGCCCTCTAGTCTACCGACTGTTTTCTGAGTGCCTACTGTGTGCCTCTCTGGGCCCCTCTTTTATATTCTCTGTCTGTTTTCACAACAGCTCTAGAGTGGATCAAGACCTCATTTTACAGTTGAGAGAAACCTGGGGTTCCCCAAGGTTTAATTTCTTGTCTGACACTATGTTATAAGTGTGGAGTCTGGAGATTCGAGCCACACACACCTCCTGTACCTATGCCCAGATGCCATCTCTGGTTTTGGAGCTCATTGAATTCTCTGTCTAGCTGTGGTTTGGAAGCCCAGCTCCATACAGGAGCACTGTGTGAGGGACAGACTCTGTCAGGGGTGGCTTGTCCAGTATTGGTCCCTGGTCAGAAATCAGGCTGGTAGGAGTAGATTTAAGAATAATGTGGGCTAGGCAGGTAGCTCAGTGGGTAGCGTGCTTGTCTAGCCTGAGTAAAGGGTTCTGCCCCTAGCACCACATAAAACTAGGTGTACACACCTGTAATGTGAGCTCTCAGGAGGGAAGTAGAGGCAGGAAGACAGGAGTTCAAGGCCAGCCTAGAATATATGATAATGTGCTTTTGTGTTTGAGTGGAAATTACCTCCTGATATGAGCCCTCAGCATTCCACACTAACAACTTGAGGTGGTTGAATTCTTGGTCTGAGTTCAGGGTCAGATAAGGCCAGGTAAGGAATGCATTGCTCACTGAGGATAGCTGCCTGATCCTCTGTCTACTTGAAACCTTGCTCACTAACATTAAACACTGAGTTTGAATTTTTTGCTCTCCATTTCCTTTTCCAAACCAGGACCAAGCCACCATGCCTGAAGTCAAAGAGCTTTCAGAAGCCTTGCCAGAGACATCAATGGACCCCATCACGGGAGTCGGGGTGGTGGCTTCCCGGAACCGAGCCCCGACAGGCTACGATGTGGTAAGACACAATACCAGTTTGTCTGTTCTGCTCTCTGTCTACTTCAGTCCCTGTGTGGAAAATGCGCATCTTCCCTCTCAGAACTTAGAATGAGCAGAAGAGGAAGGTCATGGCCAAGGAGTTGGTCAGGAGTGGGAGTCAGGGGACTGGCTGAGGCCATGGAATGTGCGAATGATTTCCTGGCTATAACAGGCTTTTGACATTTGTGGTGGTCATTTTTCACCTTTAATTAGATTCATTGATTTCCAAAGTCACCTCTAGTTTTGATGCTTCATGAAGAGGATTTAGGAAAAATCCTCGGTGTTGTCTTGTATTGTCCCAGGAGTTTAAATATCCTGAGTGTGTTGTTCTTCTCCATAGCCAGCAGGGAACTTGTACAGTGATTAGCTTAGTGTGTGGGCAGGGGCTCTAAGTCAGGGCTTCTCAAAGTCAGTGCCAATAATCATGTAACTCTCTGTCATGGGACCATCATGTACATCATAAGCTGTGTGCTGCAGCATCCGTGGCCTCTGCTTAGCTGAAATGAAGAGTTTCCAGATGTTCCCTGGGAAGGATGGCGGAGTAAAATCAGCCCCCGTTGAGAACCTCTTCGGTCAGTCTGTATTGGATCCCCACTGCAGAAAGAGGACTCCATTAAAAAAAAAATCAAGGAAACAAAAGCTCTGCTTCCCTACTGTTGAGATGCTTGTGAAGAGATGGATTTGCATTCGGCCGGCCTCAGTCTTCAAAGCCCAGGAGGAATGTCTAACTTCCCATAAAATGGAATCGTTAGGTATGGCTTTGTGCCATAAAACTCTCGGGGAAGCTGATAAAAATGCTCCTGATTTGAGAAGCTGAGGTGTGTTTTGATGAATTGGGTCTGGGGTGGCACATAGTGCATCAGGCCTGCCTGGAAACTGCCGGGGACCATCTAGGGCCCCTGGAGGCTCAAGCCCCGGGCTTGGGTCTCACAGCTTCCTGCTGTTCTCTGTCTGTCAGTATCTGTAGCGTTCTGGCTGCACCTCTGGGGTCATGCGGACTGCTTGGCCAGTGGGCGGCAGATGGCCTTTGATAGCTTGGTCCTCTGAAAGTCTCTGGAAGCCTGACAGGGGCACAATCTATCCCTATCATTTTCTTCTAACATCTAGCTCAGGGCAGGAGAGCGTGGTGTCAAATGAGTGAAATTAATAAGCACATTTCACCACCATGCTGCACTGTGCATTTTAGTGGAAGGTGAGCAGGGCAAGAGGCTCACGCTAGTTCGCCTGTAATTACTCAGTCTGCACATGGTCCTAGGCTCCTCTAAGAGCTCTTCCTGGCTGAGGGCGGGCAGTCCTCTCTTCGTCTGACCTCTAGCCTCTTCTCAGATAAACATCTCATTCCCAAGAGCTCTGGCCCTAGTTCAAGGGGAAGGGTGGGGATGGCAGGGTGAAAAGCGGCAATTCCCTTCTCAGCTGGAGCTCCGAGTGAAGGGAACACAGGAACCAAGGGCAGGAATATTTTGGGAAGGCTCCAAAGATTGTCCAGAGGACAAGCAGGTCTGTGAGCCGGAGGCTAGACTACCCTCAGTGTACAGTCTGCCTAGGATTAACCCCATCCTCTCACACAGTGAGGCACTCCTACCGTTAGCCACCAGATGTGCTGCTGGCCCTCAGCTGCCTTAGAGAGGCTTTCTAGGTACTGCTGTTCCTTGAAGTTAAAAATGCCAAAGGTGCATTGGATTGGGGAAGCATCTTGGACCAGGACACTGGAAATCATTTGCTGTCTCAATTCATTGTCTCCGTTCCTGCAACTGCTGAGAACAGCCTCCCGTGTGTGTCTTTCAGCCTCAGGCCCAGGGCTTGGAGTGACAGGCTGATATACCCACTCTTAGAGATTGAGGTGGGGCTCAGAAGCAAGACTACTGGTCTGGAAGTGGAGTGAGAATTTTGGTTTCTTTTAAAAAAACGCAGAAATAGGAATATATTTTCCTTTTAATCCCAGGCGTGGGATGTGGGGCTGCTTCAGACTGTCCACAGCAGCTGACTACGAGTTGCCTCGTGCTCTAGCAGAGGTGTGATTTTGCCAGCTGCAGATAGTTTCTGATATTGTGTGACATTTGGAATTCTGGGGACTTTTCAGAGGGTATATAAATGCTAGGGCCACAAGAGGTGGGTTTGGGTTGTTGGTTGGTTGTTGGTCGTGGTTTGTTACATAGCCATGCGTAAAGAAGAAACAAGAAGTAGTTAGATATCCTGATGGCAAAGATCAAATTTGCCCCAAGGAACTCAGCACCCCTAATCGGCAGAAAGTAGTCTAACGATAAAGTCGCCCCCTTTCCCTTCTATCCGTTTTTTTCTCCTAATGAGCAGGGGTTGAGAGAGTGGGAAAGAGGTAAAAGAAGGAAGGACCCACAAAGTAGCAAACACCAGCTCTGTTGTGGAAGTGTGAGGGCTGAGTTTGGACACGGGTGGTGTGGGGAGTAGCAATTCCCTGACCTAAAGATGGGCAAGTGGCAGGCTAGCCTAGGTGTAAATGGAAGGTACAAGTGGGCCGGGCCTGTGTGGTGAAGTCAGGCTGGGAGGGCAGAGGAGGCATTGTCCAACAGCGGTCAGAACGAATTGGCGATTTCCATTGTTTGGCTCTGCTCCTTCCCTCTGCTGTGTGCTGGGGAGCTGGCCTTGGTGGTGGCCTCTGACTTCCACATGGGCGCTGTGGGCAGCCTGTGAGCTACCCACCCTCCCTCCTTCCTTTCTCCCCTCTTTTTATCTCCCATTCTTTCAAGAGTGTTGAAACTAATTAGGCAACAAAACATTTCTTCAAAATTGCTGGGCCTGCATAATTTATAGATACTCAAAGTATCCCAGGTGTCTCCATAATCGGTAGAGCTGCCAATATTTGAAGCATCTGATGTAGGATGCTGTGGCGCTGAGACAAATCAGCTCTTCTCTGGGCAGTGGGTTGGGTTTAGGGATCAAAAGGCTACACAGGTCTAAAACTGGAGCCAGCTGTCATATACCAAAGCAGGAGAAATTAAAATAAACAAACAAAAAACCCACCCTCACAAAACCACCTGCTCAGTGCTGAAGCAGGGTCAAGAAATTCCCATCATGTTCAGGGAATTAAAACCCTTGGGAAGAAGGTAGCGAGCTCCTGCCCAAAGCCTGTGGTAGGTATCAACTGGAGCACGTGAGCCATAGTCATCATTCCAGCGTGAAGGAGCTGTTAGGTCTCTAGAAAGGCCGCGCTGTGATATTAGGCCCTTGTCCCTCATAGCCAGAGGGCAGAGACCTCAGATGGACATGAGGTGCTATCCTCTGGTGTCCCACCCTGCAGCAGGTGAAAGATAAGGAGTAGCTTGTCCCTGGCGGCCCCTGTGGGCCCCTGGCCCCCTCAGAGTTGCTCTGCCAGCAAGGGACTGCTTCTGAGGTTTCTATACCCCACAACCCCTCCTCACAGGCTCTTTTCTTTTCAGAGCTGAGCTTGTTTTGATAAAGGTGCCAGGTGTTGCTCTTTTTTGTTTTGATAGAAAATACATTAAACCAAGATTACTGAAAGCACGGAAAGTAGTTTTACAACCAGCCTTGGGCCCTGGCTTCCTGTGGCTTGAATCTGGAAAGTTCTGTGAACTGTCCGGAGACAGACCTGCCTTAAGAGGAGGACACTCGGTGCTTGCTGTAGTGAGTGCAGTGAGGCCAGCAGCCCAACTTCAGGAAGTTCTGTCAGAAACCATGGCTTCCTGTGCCTGCTGGGAGGAACGGTCTTCTCCTTGGCCTCCTGCCCCCAGCTGTGCAGCCAGAGACCAAAGCTCAGTTAGACAATGACAGCATCTTGATACTTCCTTCTGCTCACAGAGGTGGCTGGCTCACTCTTGCAGACTTGTGAAAGATAAAGCCTCAGTTATTTGGATTGGCAAAGAAGTTAATTGTTCTTTTTTTAAATGTAGAATCTGTTTTAAGTGATTGTGGATTTATGTGTACTTTAAGGAGTGATGCAAGCATGCTCGCTCCTCATCTAAGATCAAGTGACAAGGTGACAAAGGTGCAGTGGGCATTTTTGACCCCTGTGGTAGTGTCTGAAAACATCAGCATGAACCAGGACTCTGAGTTTAACCAAATGATTTCTGGCCAGTGGATCAGTGGATCATGAGGAAATTGCTGTTGAAAAGATGGTTTTCAGCTCCTGGTCCCCAAGAGAAACAGTACGTCCTGCTGCTGGGCAGGGCCAGATGGGGAAGTGTCAGGGCCGACAGGAGCCTGTAGAGCAGAGGCAGTGTGGGCATGAGCTGTCCATGCAGCTTCTGTGTGTAGGGTAAGCAGATTTCAGCCATCTAGTGGAAATGGCTGTCTCTGTGCCACAGGTGTAGTGTCTGCTTGTCAGGCGTCTGGTGTCTTGGATGGCAGAAGCCTGATGCCCGAGAATGTGCTGGTTTGTTTTTGTCACCTTGGCATATGCCAGAGTCACCTAGGAACCTTGGTTGAAGAGATTAGCTTGTGGGCATGTCTGTAGGACATTTCCTTTTTCTTTAGGATTGATTTATTGTTTTTATTTATATGTATATGGATGTGACTGAAGGAATTTACATGTACCACATGAGCTCAGGGGTCAGTTGAGGCCAGAGGGCATCCTGAGTTACAGGTGGCTAGGAGCAAGCTGTGTGGGCGCTGGGAAGTGAACCGGGTTCTTTGTAAGATCAGTAAGTGCTCTTAACCACTGAGCATTTTCTCCAGCCTTTGGGGCATATTCTCCCCCCCCCATGTTTGTTTACTATATGCGTATGGGTATTTTGCCTGCAATGGCAGTCTGTACACTAGAAAGCCAGAAAGTGGTGTCAGATCCCCTGGAACTGGAGATACAAATGATTATGACCCATGATGTGGGTGCTGGGAATTGAATCTGGAGTCCTGTAGAAGAGCAGTCCCCAGTGCCCTTAACTGCTACATCTATCAGCTACATCTGTCGAGCCCCCCCGTGGGACATTTTCTTGATTAATAGTTGATGTAGGTGGGCCCAGCCCACTGTGGGAGATGCCACCTTTGGGC